ACTTTTAAATCGAACAATTAATGTGCAAATAAAACTCATTAAATATTAATTGAGTTCGATAATTACAGAGATGATGGGGTTGCGGCTTCGCGCAACATGTTGCTAAAGCACCTGATTTGGGGGAGCTAACCAATCAACCCAACCAGGTGGCTTTGGTTCACCCACTTTCAGCAATCCGTCAATTTCGTAATGGGTTAGCACACCTTGGTGATTTATTAGGGGGGACTGCAGACCCAAACGGCGCGTTTCGACCCGCCTCATCTGATTCCAAGCCGATTTCCATCATCCTGGCAACATGCCGTACCCGCACGTTTTCATTCATAACTCGTCGCGTGGCTTCAGCACCTTTCTTTCCTTTCGAGTCCTTCGGCCCTCCCTCCTTCGTCCTGTCATCCTGCCGTCCTGGCGCCTCGGACTCGGACTCGTACTCGTACTCGGATTTCGGATCCGGCACTTCGTGTGGGCGCTTCGTGGCGCCCAATATAAAAACACGCCGTAATCGCTATACTCCGTGAGTCCTCCGCTCGTCGTCAGCCTGTTGCGTTCGCCACTCGAGTTCGATGCTGGATGAAAATCCATCAGAGGAACCACAGCCACAAGCACCAGCAACAGTTCAAGATTCCGAATCAGTTAACGTTTCGCGACGCGACGCGTGAATACATAAAATAAATTAGAAAAAAAGATAAACAAGCCATAAAAGCCAAGAGGGGCTCTTTCCCAAATAAGACAATACGAAAGCCCACGCGAAGTATCCAATATCTCGATCGTCATAAATCAATCCGTCGAGTGTGCAGTCGAGTAGCGCAGATCCAGCCAAATTAGAGGCAATTACACTGATAAGGTGATTTCTTTTATGCTATGTGGCCATTTTCGAAAGAGTGCTGTTCGTATGTTTTTGAGTTGGTGTTGAATGCTTTTGCTTTTGCGGAACCATATCAGATTTCAAGCAAAAACATCAACGGAAATGTGGCGCAAATTGAATGGCCAAAAGGTGGCAGGCTTGATTGATTGCCTGAAAAACGTTTAAGCTAATTAGTTTTGCATGTTGTGCTCGGTTTCAGGTAACAAAAATACACCCAAACTTAATAGACAGCAAACAAGCTTAGCGAAAGGTCGGCAATCACACCTTGTAATTTTCTTTGCTCCCCCGGGCCACAGATTCCCAAATGATTGGCCTTTTGTGCTGATTTTTTTACGGCCTAATCAAATGGGATTTACGGCCTTTAAAGCGGAGCTGGAAAACTTTTCACATACTCGTATTTGCATACGCATGTAAATAACTTGAGTTGGCATAGATAACAGGGATTTCATTTCCTTGTGCCGAGAACCGCCCGCCTTTTGAATTGCCGATAAAACAAGAAGGGACGCGCTGCCAAGTAGCCCTGGGCAATCACGATTTCCGTCTCCGGGTGCCAGAGTCACCACGAAATGTATGACAATGGCTGTCAGGAGCACAATCCTCAGTGGGGCAGGGCAGTTTTATTGCCTTGAATTCCATATTACTTCCAGAAAATCAATATTTGCTCAACTTCAAATGTAAGAATTCATTCATTATATCGGCTGGGAACGGCTCACTTCCCTCGAGATCCCTAATTCAATTGGATTGCAATTTCCGCTGCAACTTCGCTGGTTGCCATGGATGGTTGGGTTGGCCGGCTCATCACATCTCTGCCAGCATTTAGGCGATCTATTAGAGGAAATCAATAGCCATCAATTGTCGTTTGCCGAAAGTGCCAGCGGCCACCCACGGATTTCCACCGGATTCGCAAATCCCCGTCCGCCGAATGGCATCCATATGACATGTGATTGCCGGCTGGACTAATGCGGCTGCCATTTGAGCACTTAGTTATCTGCGATGTCTAATGCTCCTGGTGACAGGTGCTATATGAGTTCTATGCCCCCCACCCATCCCCCATCACACACCGAAACAAAGGAGTCGCCATAATTCCCAAAATGGGGTTTCCACGGTGCCACTTTGGTTTTCTGATGAGTTGAGGAAATTCATGTGCAAATTTCAGTAATGAAATTGGTTTCAGTTTAAAATGGCCATCCCTCTTGGGATTATACATTATTTACGCATGTTAAAGCTAATTTTCTGTAATGCTGAAATTTGAGTTATGGGAGCTCAAACTTTTACGTACGCACACACTAAATTGCAAGAAGTTTGCCTTGTTGTGGCAATTGTTACTTCATTTTGTTAGCTACACAAAGTTACTTGGATTAGGGAAGTTTCATTTTGAGCACAATGGCTGCATTACATAGCGTCGGTGTGCGGAAAACCAAAGTGAAACTTTCAGTTGTTCTACGCAATTAAAAGTGACCTCATGAAAGGATTATGATGGAAAACCAGAGAAAAGAAAAATATATTGAATAAATATGGGCTAAAACAGAGGGCATGAACAGAGGGCGAAAAAACTCTTGAAAGCGCCAAGGGGATTTCATTTAATTATGCATTTACACGGGTTTGTTTATAGATCATAAGTAAAAACCTTGGTTCAGGTGCAAATAAATTGTAAATGCTCTTTCAAAGTTTACTACTTTACTCTTTTTTGAACGATCTAACCAATGGAGTGTGTAAAGTGTCTTCCCACCAATATAAAGTTATACTGTCCAAGTTGATTACCTTTTCCTCTTTTTGGAAACAAGTTTTTCCCCAGGTAACTTTAGCTTTACATCAGGAAAATAATCTAGTTGTGCTGCCGTTTTCCAGTCGACGTCTTCAATTTAGAACCTAATTTCCTCTGTGCACCTCGTGCAAATTGCCCCAGTCTCCAGTTGGCAACTGATTGAGGAGTCCGGAGGGACTTGAGATGGATATGTATGCATATTCGGAAGTACATAAAGAACTACCACGCCGCATTCAGAAATACCACATATTTACGTGACCCATAAATTATAGGAGCACTTCTTGTTGTCAGAATGTTGCGCATTTTTCACAGGTTAGCTGTCAGCATTTTATTTTCGCTCTATTCCAGCGGGAAAACGGCGGAGGTCAAAGTTTGCACAAGACAGTGGCTCTGAAAATATTCGAAAAATAATAGCCCCAGATGAGCTCAATTTTCCACGCAAATGAACAGATCAGATTGAACTCCTGTATGCTATTTAGCATGCCCTATACCCTATACCCTGAGTAATTTAAATAAATATGCATATTTTTGGCAGAAATGGTTGCAATAAAATCCATGCTAGTACTCACGTTCTTTATTCATTTTGATTGATTTTGACGTTTTTTTCGCAGCAACTTTTGGCATTACATGCATATCTGTGAATTGTGCACTGACCCATGCAACTGTGCGTTTTTTTCTCCTTTTTTGCAGAATGATGAAAGCCACAGCGTGGTTTTGTCCGGTGTTATTAACTTTACTGTGTGCCACAAGGCTCGTCTGCACGGCCCAAAGAGGAGCTGCTGCAGCAGGTGGAGCTGCGGGAGGATCAGGAGCGGCAGCGGGTGGAGCAGAGCTCGGCGGAAGCGGTCGCACAAACGGATATCCTCTCGACTACCCGGATGGAACACGGAACACACAGGTGGGCATGGGCATGGACATGGGCATGGGCATGGGCATGGGCATGGGTGTGGACATGGACATTGTCCTGGCCATCGGAGTGCATTTCTTTCTGCCTGTCTCCCTTTGTGAGTGAGTGGCAGCAGTTTTTGCGTCACTTGTTTGAATGTTGTCCGAATGCATATTCAATTATTGGCTTTGCATTTCGCAAACGAACGATTTCATCCTGTGCTCCTTTGACAACCGTCGTTGGTTCCATTCACTCGGCTCATAAATTGACACATTGTTCCTCACAATGCACAAACCCTTACAAGAACCCAGGAAATGTGACCGCAATTTGTGCCTTACAACCCTTTAATATCGTGGGAACGAGCTGGTTAAAGATAAAGATAAAAATTGATTGAAAAATATCTCGTGCGCAGTTTATTTAACGCAAATATTTTATAGGTTTGCAAAGAGATTAAACTCTTATCAAGTTGGAAATGGGAATTTTATAATAGTTGCAAATCTCAATTCTGCATTTTCCTGAAATCTCGAATATATTATTGACCTCCGATCTAGATTTTGGTACAATCTAATCTAGGCACTTGAACAAATCGAATACCCCAATGTGAAACTTCTTCGGTGGTACAAAAAGATCATATAAATACCCAAACACACACGAACATGGCAACCAAATAGATTTGAGTCCATGGGTTTTGAAAACAAATGGAAAATTTTCGTCAAGGATTTTGAGCAGGCGTCATTAAAGGTAAACAAATGGGGAAAAAAAAACCAAACATTCTGTTTGTCTTGGCCAACTCCTGTTGTCCACAATCAAAAGTTGTAAGAAGTTCGAATTTTGTCAAGTTGATTCTTTATTCTTTATTCGGAGGAATTGGAGTGCGAGGCAAGTTCGTTTGTGAAATTGCAGATTTAAGCACGTAAATGCGAAGGACACGTAAACAATTTAATTTTATTTACTGAAAGAAATGAAATGATGTTTTATGGTGGGGCAGAATTAAAAATACAAGCCAATTACGAAATTTTCCATTTGTACCACCACACAAATGACACATCGTTGAGTACAAACTTTTGTTAGGACCTACATATGTACAGGTATGTTTTCGATAAGGGTCGATTTGCCAACTAATCAGTCAAGTAGCGATTCATTGATTGATGTAGGTACGTCAATCAAGCATTTTATCATCCGCTCGCAACGCTTAAACAGCCAGCGAAACAGCCAACTAACGATATTGTCATGGTTCCGAAAGCGAAAGTTCAATTAGGTGATAAGATTTAATGCGTTTAGAGCCTTAAAGTTTTGAGTAATACCACATAATAAACGTGACTTTGGATTTTTTTTCCTTTTTTCTCGGCTGGTTTTAATTATTCAGATTGTAAGCACTATAAAACTAAATGGCGAATGCGTGACAACATAACACGATGTGGCTTCATGAGACTTCAATCTTAATCCTAGAAATGCTTTCACGTCGTTTTGTGAGAACACGTTAATAATTTAGCTTTAACAGTTTAATATTTGCACCATATATCGTTTTACAACGCTTTGTTTCATAACCTTGTTACGTTGAAACACCCAGTTTTCAACGGTTCTTGAGGAGGTGCACCAGGAACCTTGGGAACTTTGAAATGATCTTCCTAGACCGCTGAAGAATCTGTGGTGGACTCTTCGGCCGCCTCGGTGGTCGAATCTTCGGGAACCTCAGTGGTGGATTCTACGGGAACCTCAGTGGTGGATTCTTCGGCAACCTCCGTGGTGGATTCTTCAGGCGCCTCGGTGGTCGATTCTTCGGGAGAACCGCTTCCATCCTCAGAGTCGCTGGTTGTCTCCTCCGGTTCCTGAGTCGTAGAATCCTCTGAGTCTTCAGGTGCCACAGTGGTGTCGTCAGAAGAACCGCTTCCGTCCTCGGATTCAGTGGTAGTTTCTTCCGGAGCCTGAGTGGTGGATTCCTCTGGGGCTTCTGGGGCCAAGGTGGTGCTATCTTCCCCGGAACCGCTACCTTCTTCAGAGCCGGTGGTGATTTCCTCCGGCGCCTGGGTGGTAGATTCTTCCGGAACCTCGGGGGCCAGGGTGGAATCCTCTGCGGGATTGGTCACATCCGAGCTGGTCACCTCAGGCAGATTCGTTGGTGGTGGTGGCGGTGGTGGAGGCGGGCGGTGACCGCCGTGACCATGACCATTACCATGACCATGATTGTTACCATGATTACCATGAATGTTGTTTCCGTGCCCGTTTTCATGTCCGAGACCATGGTTATTTCCGTGCGATTGTTCGTAACCATTGCCGGCATTCCACTGACCCTGACCATGACCATGGGGATTCCACTGATTCTGGCTATTCCACTTCTGTTCCTGCACGCCTTCCTCGCTCCTGGAGCCCCATCCGAAGATACTGGTCCATTTGCCGCCAAAATTTCCAAGCCAACCGCCGTTCGGGCGGCCAGAAGCCACTGCCACCAGGGCAGTTAAGAGGAGAAGAGTTAGGACCTTCATTTCGCAATTGTTTCGATTGTACTACCGGGTTCTGCAGATGGACATAGCTTTTATAGAAGGCTGATAACCACTTCCATTCACTGCCAGACATTTCGACCTCATACTGCCACATTCTTATCTAATCGCCAAGAACTTGTCTGATAGTCCGAGCAACAATAATCGTAATTATCATATTTATCTGCACATGAATTCGGATTGGTTGTTTACTGTTTGCCTTGAACTTAGAACACGTAAATACTTCTTGGAACACCCACAAATAAAAGATAATATTTAAATATTTCCAAAGAAGCACCTGTCCAGACTCTGTATAAATTTCGCCTAATGTCTGTATGATCAAGATTAATTCAAATCCAAATTTTTTAGGAGCATTTGTGGTGTAAAGAAATTGTTGCTAAGCAGATCATAAAGTGATGGTGTTTTCTAACTCCCCGAGAGTAATTGTATTTTAATTCTATTTTGTCGCTACTGGTGAGTCACGAATTAGATGGCAATTTTCGCTGTTATCAGTGAAGAGCTGTTATCACGAAACTCCCGATTGATCATCGTGGAAAAAACGTAGAACAACACACTGATAAGATTCCCAGATTTGGAGTAACGATAATTTCCCGAGTGGTGGGAAAAACAAAAGGTGATATAATAAATGCGATAGATCGGGCCCTTAAGATTACCCCTCCATCGATGCCAATAATAATTTTAATTTCCATCAAAACAAAAAATAAACTTCGAGCGCAGAACTGTATATAAACACAGGGACTTAAAACTTTTTGCATTACCTCGTCAAGATTTTATTATGCCGTGCGCTAGGAAACTTCCTCCAGCAAAACCGGAAAAACCAGCAAACCAGCAAAACCAGCAAATGTAAGCTACTAAATATGTATGTTTTTGTTTCTCCGCCCGATTCTAGGATGACTTTCTGCTGGCCAAGAGGAACAAACCATCGCTGTCCATTGTCAATCCGCTGGATGTGCTGCGCCAGCGGCTGCTCCTGGAAATCGCACGCAGGCAAATGAAGGAGAACTCCCGCCAGGTGGGTTTCATATTCTGCAATCTTGAACGGGGAAGGCTGACCACTTGGCCAGGTATTTTTTAATAAGCTGCAAGGAGGGGAAAACAAAACTTTGGCAAACGGAGAACAATGCCGCGTCTTAAGTGGAAAGAGTGGGTCGGTGCGGTGCCAAGTATAAATGAAAATGTAGCGGCTAATCAAAACTAGAATGCCTGATGAGAAATACTTTTCGAAAGCCATAAAAGCGCATAAAACGCAGGTGCAGAAAGTTTTTTAATTTCTCGCAGTCGGCGGCGTATCTAATAAATATTCCAAGGACCTGAATAGATGACTCTGTTCGGCCCACTCAGCCTACTTGCTCCTGGAATGTAAACAACATCCTGGCGAACCCGAAATCGGGGCTTAAGCACCTCGGATGATGGCCCTGACATCCAAAAATATACGTATGTATATGCGTGCGGCTCAGTGCCAAAAACAAAGCCAACGCTGCGTATGTGTAACGCAAATATTTTTGCTCGGCAACAAAGCGAGTTTATTTGGTTACCCAAAGCGTTCCGATTCCCCAAAGGCGCACACAAAAGACAAAAAGGCAACCAAAATGTAGAAAAAATAAAAAACAACAAAATCAAACGTTTTAATACGGGGAATTCAAACGATTTGCCTTGATAGCAAATCACCTTTCCTCCCACGAATTTCCGTTAAAGAGGGTCATGTTCATCCATGGATGTGCCCATCCGCATATCCACCTATTCACATACGCCAGATAACAATATTGATTTGTCAAAGGGTTTTATAAATTAATCCGTGCATCCCGAAAGTAATTCGAATCGGAGAAAGATGAGCTTAGCAGGCATAATATTCCATGCAAACACCTGGCACTCGAAGTATCCTGCGGTGAGGTTGGAAAATAAGAAAAAAAATAAAATAAAATGAAAGTACAATTTTACAGCAAGTTCCAAATTTAATACCACACAATTAGAGGAACTTGAAATTAGAAACGAATATCCTATATTCGAAAGTTGGGAGCTGGCAATCCATTCGTCAGTGGAATCTGAATGCAAAAAAAAAGAATCGACACATTTATCACAGCTTAAAGGAAGCAGGGAAGGAAAGCAGAGGAAAGTGGACTTTCAGATGGCCAAAAAAAGTAGTAAGAATGCAATGTCACCTCAACTTACGAGTAGGACATTGAATCCCCAGCTCAATGCAAGCACCTGACTCTTTAAAAGTCGGGCAAAGTGGTTAGCAAACAGAAAGAAATTTAAATAAATACCCGAAGCACGAGGAGAATGGAATTTCCAAGGTGTGAAGCTGCAAGTTGGCATTTACAATTAAATTGGATTTAAGCTAAACTGGGTTATAGGAAAGATACAGGCTGAGCAATTGGATTATGCATTCCTAACGATTAATCATCTTGGTTTTAAATATTGAAGTAAGTTTTTAACACGCACCTGAGACTTTTAGTAACTATAAAGTAATTAGGCAAAGTATCTGTGGCTTTAAGTTTCGTAGCTAAAGGGTTTTAAAGTGTTCAAGTGTAATCGTGCCACATGCCTTATCCTCGATTAATGAAATAACGCACTGGCATTTGATTTGCGATCCAAATTGAAGCGTTAACAACATTGCCAATGTGGTCATCCATCATGCATGTCAATCTAGTTTGGCTTTCCCTTTGCCGGGAAAAGTGCATGGGAAACCCATGGGGATAAGGAAAAAGTGGGTTAGCCCCACTTCCATTGCAATTTGTCACCCATTTTACAGCATTTTACAGCATTTAACAGCATTTTATGTCAACCGTGTTACCTTTCTTGTGTCCAGGTCGAACTGAATCGCGCCATCCTGAAGAACGTGGGCAAAAGGTTTATGCTGCGAGGTGGAGGAGTAGGAGGAGTAGGAGGTTCGGGTGCAGGAGGATTAGCTCCCAAGGTGAGCAGGCGCTACCGCCAGCAGTGGCCACTGGAGCGGGAACTGGAGCAGGAAAGGCAAAAGGATGCAGTTCCTGAGGAACAGCTGTACCGTCAACAGCTGCTGCCCTGGAAGCATTTCCCCAGCCAACTGTGGAGCTACGGATGGACGCAGTCGCCGTACAAGGAGTCGTCACAGTTTGTGGACTCCCAGCAATCAGCATCAACTGGACCACAATCCCAGGCACTCCCAAAGCAGCTGCAGTTGCAGTTGCTCAGCTATGCGAAGAAACCACTGGACGTGGCCGGAATGGGTCTGGCCAGGCATCGGGTCAGCGGAAATGAAGCCAACGAAACAAATCATGAGAACGACGATGGCAATGGGGCCAGTAAAAACACGGCGAGATATGTGGATGACGACGACGAGGGCGAGGATAGCTACAATGACCTGGGAGCAGAGGGTGTGGGACAGGGACTAAGACTGGGCATGGGATTGGGATTGGGTCTGGAGCGGTTCGAGGTAATGGAGGACAAGCCCAACTGGGCCAACGAGGAACCGAACGAGGTGATGATGGTTAATGCAAATGAACGCGTGCCCTGGTCCTTTCCCTACCGCTTTCACAAAAGCCAGCATAATGTTAATTAAGTAAGTAGGGATTGAGATGCGAACACACATACGATACACATACGATAAAGATACAGATGCTGCTACAGATACAGATACAGATATATGTTATACCGATACCGATACCGATACGGATACGATGCGATAGGGGCGCCCAGCAGCCTCCAAGTGCTGCAAGGTTATTAATGCAAATCGACGGTTCCTAATGGCTGGCTACAAGGCAGGCATGTTGTGTGTGCACATACTCCCTTGATGACAAACTTACTCCCACGTTGCTAGATGTACTCGCATTTGAACTCTATTTTATCGAAAATAACCAACGGTGTATGTAACGATTTATGCTACCTCTCTCACAGATACTGTTGAAAATAAATGCTCCCGATGAATGTGAAACATGCTATACATTACCCCATGCAACATACTACGTACTCCTAGATACTTCACTAGATCGAATGAGCCGAAACTTTTGCTAATACACCGATGCTGCTAAGGATTATAAACGTAATTGCATGCATGCGTAATTGATAGTGATCTATGTGTAATTTAAATAATTGTTTTTAACGGTCAACGTTAATTAATCAATCGCATGCAATATTGACTAGTCAAATGGGATTTTCACGTTTTTATCCACATAAGCAACTCTTGTTTACATACTATTACAGCTAAAAAAAAAATAATTGTGGTTTACATTCTCCGCGGGCGGAAATCGGTTTTTATGTTCATTACGTCTGCTTCGTTGTGCTTTAACTTGTGCAAAAAAAAATGCTCAAATAGAATTAACATAGTGCCGAAAGTACTGTTTACACGCTCCTTTCGTTACAGCTGCATTTGGTCACTATTGAATTTGCGTTGTTGAGGGGTTCAAGTTTTAAGCTATCAAGCGACAAATGGTTCCAAATCATACGAGTAACGAATTACGAATTACGAATAACAAATAACAAATAACGATTTTAACGTAGATCAAAATCTGAAATATTACCCAAGCAAGTACTTCGATACATGAATACGCCACGTGTTGTGTAAATTAACAAGGAATTTACCGAGCAAATTAACCATTTAAACGTTACGTTCTGTACATTAATAAATTTAATACGAATTGATTGCCCTACGTGTATGTAAATAAAAGTCCTTTTTCAAAAAAGCTAAACTAATAAAATTGCAAAAAAAAAAAAAAACAAAAAAACAGAAAAGAAATTATATACTATACAAAATTATACGTATGTACGGATATACTTATTTAAAAAATAAAATCATGAGGCATTGACATGACATTCAATTATAAAGCATCTCGTTTAATTAACTTTCTAAGGACCCAATTCCCCAGATAAGCATTTATAATACTGCGGTAATTGTTTTCGCATTTTAAATGGCAGGGACACAAGGAAGGTACTCGTACTCAACTTTCTGAACTCACCTTTAATCAATACTCGGCAATCCAAATTTTACATAGGACATTGACGCAGTTCGCTCCCCTTACAGGGTATCAACTGCCGGATGAGTGGACGTGCTGTTGGCAACATGCTCAATCGTTAATACCGAAACATTGGCTTTACACTTGTGTACCCAAGGCTTTATTAAACACTGCGATTTCACTACTCACATGCCTAACTCTCTAAGGGTTTTTCTTCGACCAAAATGGATAACAGCTAATAATTGTGCTGGTTGCGGCTCCCGAGTGCAAACAATTTGCCCTGCCTCACCCGAGGGCTTAATTAATAACGTTGTATTTGCGCCGGATTACAAGAAACGCCACGAAACTCTAACGTCCAACCAACGAAAAAAGATAATTATCACAGGGCCATTAGGAGCCCCACTCACGTACAGCCGTTGACACGATGGCAAACAATGGCCAATGGCCAATGGTTTTGGACCTGGTAACAGGGATCTGAATGGATGGATGGGCTGGGGGCTTCCACTTCGGGTTCACTTGATGTCACAGAGCAGGGCCACTCCGCGCAGAGTCCAGTGCTTGGGATTGAACTCGGTCTCGAAGTCAATGGAGCCCACGTACTTAAGGTCCGTTCGCTGGGGCTTCCGATAGATGGGGCACTCGTACAACTTGGGATCCTTGCCGGCCGTCGTGTTTATCGCGTAGATATAGATGACCGGCATCTGTTCGTAGAGCACCTTCATCTTGGACTCAATCAGCTTGCCGCTGCGACGATCCAGCGAGGCACCTGCGAAACGCGAAGCGGAATCGCCAAGTTCATGACCTTGAAAGGGCGGGGAGGCGGCTGCGGTGGACGTAGCTTACCCTCCAGGAACAATCCGTGGACATAGACGCCCTCCGTGGGATACTCGGTTATGTCCTCCCTGTTGTAGCGCGTTATTTGATTCTGCAGCACCACCGAGTCCAAAGCCCAGCCCTTGTGGGCACGCGTCACCTCCTAGGATCGATGTCACCAGGGATTTACAAGTGTATTTTCGAGTACCGCCGCAGATATGCAAAAGAGTGAAAGGAAGTGAAAGCCGGTGAATAACCTCTGAGGTGGGGCATCAGATATGTCAATCAGCAGGGGGGCAAATGTACTTGTATGTATGTGCGTCTTAATGGCAATCGCATGGGCATAAAGGAAGTGCTTCTCACAATTTGTATGACAAAGGACCTATTTTCGCAGGACATCGATTTCTGGTTAAGGCCAAGTGCGTTTGGTATTCCTATCCCGTTTGCTTGTTAGGCAACTATGCAACAATATATGATTTCGGCTTACTCAGCTCTTATTTGTTAGGACTCACCTGTCGCATGGCTGTTAGAAAGCCTTGAGGATTAAAGAAGCCGGTCATCCAGAACACCTGGCAGTGAATTAAGCTGTGAATTAAAAGAGATTAAATAGATTGGCATATGACTACTCACCTTTGGTCTATCCGTTGATATCCAAGTGCGAAATTGCCCATTGCGCTCGAGCAACTCGGTGTACCAAAAGCCCAGCGTAGTCGATTCCCAGGATATCTGAAATGCACAGGGACAAGGTGATGGTCAAAATAAAGGTAAGAAATACGAGTATGAAAGATTTTATTTGTAAGCAAAGTAAAATATATATATACAAATTTTCCGCAATCCTCGCATCGACTCATCTGTCCAAATGGATGTTCATTCGGCGACAGAAGGTCTTCATTTCCTCAAACGAGGCCAAAGTCGCATGTTCCTTTGCAGCAAGTGGCAGTTGCAGGCCAGACTCTTTGGGGCAAAATATCTCACTTAGCTTGGTGCCCCGAGTTATGGTAAATTCGGCTGCATCGAAGAGCTTGCGTTTGAGTTCAAAATCCGACTTTCCGACGCACTCCGACTCCCCCGAGGACATTAAAGTCGACCAATTGTCCGAATCGGTGTCTTCTTGGTCCTGGATGAGCTGGTCGTTAATGGTGTGCAATCGCTCCATAAGGGTGTGCGCATCCATGGATGCACGCTTCTGCGGGATGGGCGTGTCCATTCGAGACGCCTTCAAGAATCCGTAGGTGCGAGTCAATAGATCTTGGTGCGATTCCCTTTCCGCATAGAAAGTGGCATCCTTCTTCAAGTGGTACTTGTGTTCCGACATCTTATCAATAGTTTCGACTGAGACTGGGTCTACTAAATGTGTATAGTTGATGCTGCTATATCTGGGTCTATACTATTGAATGCTTTCTCTCAGACAACCCAGCACACACAGGAAAATTAATTTAGCATTTCTAGAACGTACCACACTTTTATAAAAACAAAGAAAACCTTTGTTTAATGATATTTTCATTATTTTCGGCAGGTAACTGAATGTGATTACTAAGCTTTGGGGCGTCAAACGCTTTCGCGCATAATTTACCAGTATTGAAACATAAAAGGCCGGCGAAAAAATCTATATTCCCCATGGCAGAAATCAAAAGCAAAATTGTAAATTTCCATATTTGGTAGACAGAATTTAGCCTTGCCCAAAGCGAAATACTAAAGAGGATTAAAGTAGACAGTTGTGGCTAGGGAAATGGGTTAAATAACTATTTCACAATTTCACGATTTCACTGATTTCGCAGAGCACATACCTTCATCCAGGTCTCGGGAATGCGGGCATCGTACATGGCATCGAGTGACTCCTTGAGGGCGGGACTCATCACAATGGTGCCATCAATCGCCAGCTTGAGGTCGCAGAGGCAGGTGTGGACGCGTTTAATGACCCTTTGCATCCGATCGATTTCCTGCCTGCAATTAAATACCCCTTATTACCGTGATGGTGGCCATCATCGTGGGGGTCACTTGCCTGAGGAAAATGTTCATGGGCAGGAGTATGCCCATCCGGGTCAGGTTCTCCCGCACCTCGTAGGCGTTGTACTGGGCGGGCAGTTTGCGGAGCATGTCGTCCGCCAGTTGGTAGACGATGCTCTCCCGGGTCTCGCCGCCGCCTCCGCCGCCCTCCTTGGGCTGGACACTCAGGATGGTGTCGAGGATGCCTGCGGGTAGGGTGGGGATTGAGTGGTAAACAATCAAGGATTTCTGAGACCATCGGATATGCTAATGCGCTAATGCCCGAGTGGGTTGATGATTGCTTCTAAAAAAAGTCCACCGAATATTCGGTTTATTGATTTCACACATTCAGCTCGCCCATGCCCGAATTGATTATGCAACAGGGCTTTGCATTAAATTAAGCGCATCGATAATTTATGACCCCGTGCATCGGTGTCCATTAAATGTGAGGTTTCCGATACCAGGGAATCACAACCCGCCACTCACCTTTGGCCGAGTTTATTTGGTACGTGATGTCGGCATTGGAGTGCAGGCCAAACACCTCGGGCGTGTCGTAGGCGGGCAAACTGTTGATATAATCGATGAATCCTTGCAGACTCTTCGTGCCCGGCACCTTGTAGCCCTTGTAGAACTCGAAGGAATTGGACAGCAGTGGCTCACAGAACCACACCGATGTGAATGTGGTGAGCAATCTCTTGTCAAAGTCATCGGTCACCCGACCGCCGTACTGAACCTCGCCAATCATGTAGACCAGGGTCTGCCAAGAGACGCCCTTCTTGGGATCCATCTCGTCCAGGTGGTTCTGGATGAACTGGACGCTGGCCGCGAAATCGGCCTGGTTGAACTCGTAGGGTATGTTCCAGCCGAGCGGACCGAACTTGCGCCGCTCCTGGACGATGGTGTGGAGGAAGGCCACCGTGTAGAGCAGCGGGGGCCACTGGCTCGCCGAGGTGTAGTCGAGGAAGTCCTGGGTGAACGACTGGTGGGGGTGGAGCAGCCCAAGCAGCCGAAAGAAAAACGATTGAAAATTAAATATTAAGCAAGCCTCCACATATTTGCCCACCTGGTAGCTCCGCTTTAGACTGGCACGTATTCCCTGCGGGGGTTCGTTGGTGAATTTGAGAGCCATCTGCAGCAGGCCAATGGGGAACTCGTTGTGCGGCTCCGTCGTCACCCACATGCGGAAGGAGTCGTCTATGTGCTCGCTCTCCACCAGCATGTCGATTATCTCGGAGCAGAAGGGCAGCGACAGGTGCACGTTCTGGAGCAGCACCCATCCACCGATGGCCATCGATTCGATTATCATCTTGCGTGCGTGGTACTCCTGCCCCTGGCCCATCGACACGGATTTCAGAACTGCGGGCGATTATACAAATAAGTGCTGGCATATTTTCAACTATATACGAGTATGTTGCTCTATATGCACGGCTCACCTATGCTCTTTTGCTTCGCCAGAGCTCCAATTTGGGTGGTCGGATCCGATCCAATGGACAGCAGGCACACAAATGGAGTACGAGGTTCGGACTCCAGCCTATAAATAAATCCACAGTATAATATCTGTCCACTACAAACTGGTTTATGTGTCCATGGAGGCTGTAAAATGTCTATGTCTCAGACGCATGGTAATATTATTGATATATCAATCCCAGTTCTATAGCTTACCACATTTCTTCCAAATCAAGGATTTGCATTTCGCTATACTCCGGTCCCAGAGATTCTTAATAAACATTATTAAATCGATAACATAAAGATGTAAAGTACCATCATTTATCCCACCTTCTATGTACTTCTTCGCCTGTGAAATGGTGCGATCGGGACACCATGACCGGATGAGCAGCAGCTTCCGGAAGCCATCCAGGATGGCATTGTATCCGCAGGGGATCTCCTCGTTCTCCGGCTTCTCGCACTCGTACCAGCAGCGCCAATCCCGCTCGTTCAGCTCGATCACCTGGAGGACCGTGGAGAAGGTTTCCAGCTTGCTGATCTCCACCAGATTCAGCCAGGTAATGTCCAGGATCCAGCGGAAGGGCTTTGGGGTGACGGCATTCAGATCCAACGAGGCACCGCCCTTGATGAAGGTCAGGAACTCCTCGTGGCTGATGTTTCCATTGTGGTAATCGATCTTGATGGCCAGCATCAAGGTGAACAACTGTTTGTGCCTCTCGTAAAGACTGCGATTGGTGAACTTGTACACCTCGTAGGTCAAGTACCGCAAAATGATGTTAATCCGCTCCTCGGTGACGCTGGACTTGGTTGACTTGGTGATGGAATGGTTGAAGATGACCAGGAACTGTTTCAGCGAGTTCTGGTACATGGCATTTACATTGCTCATTTCGACGATCAGGAAGTAGAGGATCGATCCCCGTTTGGCCACCGCCCGGAACTCCTCGCGCGCCTTCATGATCTTGCGCTCCGTGACCTCGGAGATCTTCAGCTTCTGGTTGACCTCCTCCGCAGTGGTCTTCGTGACCCGCAGCACTTCAATTAGAGCTTCATCATCCACCAGGGAGCCCTGGGATGAGCTCAGTCGGAGCAGGAGATTCGCCTCCAGCTCCTTCATATTCCGCTGGTTCTGCATGACCGTCTCAAAGAGGGCCACCCTCTCCGCCTCTAAATCGGACTTCTCCATGAGGATGACGCGACCCAGAAGCTGGTCCTCAAGCCCCCGCATGGTGACCGTAAAGTCAATGATCGAGGTCTTGGCACTGACCTCCGGACTAAAGGCTGGATTGGGCAGTTTCGTGGTGATGTAGAGCATAAAGCCCGGCATCACATCGCACTCCTTGTCGCCCACCAACACCTTTTCTATGCTGCCCGACTTGATGAAGTTCTTCTCCAGCACATTGTCAATCACCGGATCCAGGTCAATGCCCACATCCTCGATCAGCAGTGGCCTGCCCAGCGACAGCGAGTCCTCGAGATGGGTGCGGAAGTACTTGTGGTTCAGGGAGGTGATTTGCAGCTCGTTGCGATCCTCCTTGCACTTGATCCAGATCTTGCCCTGCGTCTGCGGATCCACCAGCAGTGGGTAACTGCTCGACTTGGTAGCTATCAGGGCATTCTGCACCGACAACTCATCGTTGGGCAAGCCCTGTAGCGTCCATTCCGACACTGTCGATGAGTCCACCAGCATGTTGATTATGTTCAATCCGGTGGTGAAGGGTATGTTCTTCTGCTTCAGTATGCCCATCCAGGTCTTGATCAGATTGGCCCTGAATTCCTGGTTGTAGGGTCCGCAGTAGGAGAGAAAGCCGGTGGCCAACAGGACATCGCCCACCAGCTTGCCCAGCTGTATCTTGAACTCCTTGCTCTGGTTGGTCCAGCGGTGCTTCTCATCCGACAATCCATTGATCAGGGCCGTGGCCGCGGTCATCTTGCGCAGGCAAACGTTGGCCGCATCCGTCAGCCTCTGTTTCTCGCCCACAGCCTTGTCGTACTGATCCTTGACAGCCTGGAGGGCTTCCTCGCGCTCCCGCAGCTGCTCCTCGGCACCCGCCAAGTCGTCCATAGCGAGCTGCAAGTTTAGAGAGGTAAGTCGGGTACTTTATATAGTAGTGGGACTCCTCGGGGAGAACAATTTCACCTTTAGTCTCGCTTCCTGCATGGTGAGATTTGCCTTCAACGGCAGCACCTCCTTGTTGACGCTGTGGAAGAAGGACATGGCCTTGGTCCAGGACAGCAAGCCAGCCACGTCGCCGCACACTCGACGCGCCATGTCCATGTTGTAGTCCTCCATGCGGAAGTACGGCTGCAGCAAATCGATCATCTCGTCGTTGATGGTATCCTTGGGATAGTTTTGCAGCTGCAGCAGGAAGGTGGCACTGGCCATCATCTGGGAATGGAGTAAGAGCGCTATAGTCGACTCAACCGACTATGATCTAGCACTATACAAAAGACCTTTGGGTTTTATAGAACTAATTGCATACTTATGGGGGCTGCGCTAATGAAGTCTGCACATGTAACCCTTAAATATTAAATAAATCAATGTTTAATGGCTTAACAAAAAATAAAGTAGCAAGTTGGGAAATGAGTTACAGATTAAGCAGTGGAGGAAGATGTGGGATCCTAGAGGAGCATTGCTCCTGGATCATACTACCATTTAGACTAGCCTCCTTGTGCAAACCTTTAGGGATTCCTGCCACGAAGGCTTCGGGCACGGTGTGCCCGCGTCGGGAATGCACGGATGCAGCTTCCGCTTGAACAGGATCAGGACGCAGTCCATGATCCGCATGATCAGGTGCGGCGGACGGCCCAGCTTGCGCACTGTGGCGATGTGGGCCGGCTTGATGGTGTTCAGGGCGTTCTCCGCCTCCTCGAGAGCCGGCTTGGCGGCCTCCAGCTTCTCCTCGGCCAGCGCCTTCTCGTGGGCGATGCAGGCCACCAGGGCCTCGGCCTTGTCCTTCACGATGAGCACCTGGTTCTTGACGATCTCCGCTTGCATCGCGCGCTCCGTCACCTCCACTAG